ATCAAACTTTCAAATAAAGAATTATGATACAAGAATGAAATTACCACACTTAGCACAATAGTAATAGCTTAGTGAATTAATGAGAAAAAAAATGAACAAAATTGTGCTATAACAGAATGAACCATATTTAGTTTTTTGAGATCAGCTACAGTTTCAACATAATTATATTATATCTTCAATTAAGTTAATGTTAATTTGAGTACTATTGAGTCCAAATTTTTTATGGACATTTGTTTTACTAGTTGGGAACTATTTCTTTTTCAGGAGTTAAAATATAATTATTATGTTTACTTATGTCAAGCTGTAATGAAGTTATTGATATGATTCATGAGAGTTAAAAATTTTTATTAAAAAAACCTTACTATTCTCATTTAAAAATCAAAAACTCCCCATATATCTTTCACTACTGTTATAAGAGTTAAAAAAAACATTTTATATAACATAAACCTACTCCATTTGCTTACTTATAAATTTGTTTTTAATTATCCATTTCTTTTTTGACTTTGTGTTTAATTTTAATTAATTAATTAATTTCTCCTTCTCCTTCTTCTCCCATGGCCCTCCTTTAGTCCACTAATAGGGTAGGTCCTCCTCCCCTTCCCTCTGACCCTAGCATATCAGGTCTCATCAGGACTGGCTGCAATGTCTTCCTCTATGGCCTGGTACAGCTGCTCTCCCCTCAGGGGGAGGTGATCAAAGAGCCAGCCACTGAGTTCATGTCAGAGACAGTCCCTGCTCCCATCACTAGGGACCCACTTGGACACTGAGCTACATGGGCTACATCTGAGCAAGGGCTCTAGGTTATCTCCATGCATGGTCCTTGGTTGGAGTATTGATCTTTGCAAGGCCCTTGTTGGAAACCTAAGTTTTCACAAAATTAGGAATAATGCTACCTCAAGATCCAGCTATACCACTCCTAAGCATATATCCAAAATATGAACAAGTACACAAGGGCATTTGTTCAACCATGTTCATAGCACCTTTATTTGTCAAAGCCAGAACCTGGAAACAACCCATATTTCCCTCAACTGAGGAATGGATACAGAAATTGTGGCACATTTACACAATGGTATTAAACTCAGCAATCATGAAATTTGCAGGCAAATGGTGGGAACTAGAAAAGATTGTCCAGAGTGAGATGATCCAGAAGCAGAAACTATATGTTTCTTATAGTAAAAAGCAGAATAAAAATAAAATCAGGCATAGAATAAGATATGCTTTTAAAATATGAATGCCTTTCTCCAGATTTTCTTATTTCTTTCATTGTACAAATAATGCTTAGTCACTGCTATAATGCACCACAAAAGTGCATACTTCAGCCTATTGCCTAGTCAAGTTAAGAATGGTTTCCTTTTGCTCTAACTACAGTTTTTCATTCACACAGACAGGCAGTGTGGGAGTTCTCTCAACCTCAGATGTTTTATGAACTTAGGCTTACATGTCTCCATTCACTCAGTGCACTGATCAGGCACAGTTCAGGATCTATGAAACTTCTAAATAGGCATCATATAGAGAATACATGATGAAGGCACTGAGTACTAAAAACTTAATCCATCTGGGTTGTTTCCAGCTTCTGGCTATTACAAATAAAGATGCTTTGAACATGGTTGAGCAAATGTCCCTCAGTTGAGGAATAAATACAGAAATTGTGGTACATTTACACAATGGAATACTATTTAGCAATTTAAAACAAGGAAAACATGAACTTTTCAGGCAAATGGTGGGAACTAGAAAAGATCATCCTGAGTGAGGTTATCCCAGAAGCAGAAAGACATACATGGTATATACTCACTTATAAGTAGATATTAGACATATAGGATAATCATACTAAAATCTGTACACCTAAGGAAGCTAATCAATAAGGAGGACCCTGGGTAAGATGCTCAATCTTCATTCAGAAAGGCAAATGGGATGGACATTGGAAGAGGGAGAAAACAGGGAACAGTACAGGAGCCTACCACAGAGCGACTCTGAAAGACTCTACCAGGAAGGATATCAAAACATATGCTGAGAATCATAGCTAAACTTTGGCCAGAGTTCAGGGAATCTTATGAAAGAAAGGGGAGATAGAAAGACCTGGAGGGGACAGGAACTGCACAAGGAGAGCAACAGAACCAAAAAATCTGGGCACAGGGGTCTTTTCTGAGACTAATACTCCAACCAAGGACCATGCATGGAGATAACCTAGAATCCCTGCACAGATGTAGCCCATGGCAGCTCAGTGTCCAAGTGGGTTTCCTAGTAATGGGAACAGGAGCTGTGTCTGACATGATTTCAGTGGCTGGCTCTTTGATCACCTCACCAGAGGTGGAAGCAGCCTTAGCAGACCACTAAGAAAGACAATGTAGCCAGTCCTGATGAGACATGATAGGCTAGGGTCTGATGGAAGGGAAATAGGATCTCCCCTATTAGTGGACTTGGGGAGGGACATGGGAGGAGAAGAGGGAAAAAGGGTGTAATGGGGAGGAGACAAGGAATGGGGCTACAGCAGGGATACAAAGTGAATAAGCTGTAATTAATAAAAATAAAATGAAATTTTAAAATAAATAAATAAAAGTTAATCCATGACTTCATCTAAAGCTTAGGGAAGACTGATGAAAAGAGAGTAGGACTGTAAGTGCCAAACGTTGAAGGACTTTGCTGTAGATCTGTCTCTTAGTAACCTCAGAAGCTGCACCCATAAGATCTCACCAATGTAACTGCCTAGACACAAGCTGAACAAGGGCAACAGCAACAGACAGGGCCACGTGGACACAGGAAAGAGCCATAGGCAATTGGTAATACCAAGAATGTGATAGTTTTCTCAAAGAAGAACACACCATTTCATTGCCTACTGGTCATCCCTGTAAACATACAGAACATGGATAACAGTATGCACAGACTGAGCATGTTATATTTAATATATGTACATATGCACTTAATAACAATTAGTAGAAAGAGGCCATGAATTTGAAAGAAGAGCAAGGAGAAATAAATAGAAGAGTTTATGGAGAGTAAAGGGTAGGGGAAATGATTTAATTTAATTATATTAAACTCAAAGGTAAAAGAAATAAAAGTTAATATCAAATCTAGGAACTATGAAAGTTAATGGCCTTGAGATGTTCTAGGGGCTCATGAGATGGGTCAAGCAGGTAATGTTTTTCCCAAAGCCTGATAATTTGCTTTCACTATCTTGAATCAATAAGGTAGGAAGAAGGGGCCAAAGGCTGTCCTCGAAACACGTAGATAGATACCCACACATACATACCCACATGAGTACACATGAGCCCACACTTAATGCTATTTTTAAAAATAGTGTAGGGTAATCATACTAAAATCTCTACACCTAAGGAAGCTAATCAAGAAGGGGACTCTGGCTAACATGCTCAATCCCCATTAAGAAAGGCAAAGAGGATGGACATCGGAGGAGGGAGAAAAGAGGGAAGAGGATAGGAGTCTACCACAGAGGGCCTCTGAAGGGCTCTATCCTGCAGGGTATCAAAGCAGATGCTGAGACTCATAGCCAAACTTTGGGCAGAGTACAGGGAATCTTATGAAAGAAGGGAGAGATAAAAAGACCTGGAGGTGACAGGAGCTCCACAAGGAGAGGAACAGATCCTAAAAGTCTGGGCACAGGGGTCTTTTCTGAGACTGATAGTCCAACCAAGGAACATTTATGGAGATAACCTAGAACCCCTGCACAGATGTAGCCCATGGCAGTTCAGTGTCCAAGTTGGTTCCAAGTAATTGGGATCAGGGACTGTCTCTGACATGAACTGATTGGCCTACTCTTTGATCATCTCCCTGAGGGGGGAGCAGCCTTACCAGGCCACAGGAAGACAATGCAGCCAGTCCTGATGAGACCTGACAGACTAGGATCAGAGGGAAGGAGAGGAAGATCTCCCCTATCAGTGGACTTGGGGAGAGACACAGGTGGAGAAGAGGGAGGGAGGGAGGTATTGGGAGGGAAAGAGGCAGGGGGACACAGCTGGGATACAAAATGAATAAACTGTAATTAATAAAAATAGCAATATCAGCTGAAGAAGTTCTCTGGTTGCATTTTTGGGGTCATTCATGTAGACTATCGTGAAATAGGTCTGTTCTGTTCCGATTTGTTGTCTTTAGTTTGGTTGTCTTTATTTGTCTTTTTACTTTAGCTTAGACTTCAAATACTATGTTGAAGAGATACACAGAGAGTGGGCAGCCTTGTCTTGTCCCTGATTTCAGTGGGATTGATTTAAGTTTCTCTCCATTGAGTTTGATGTTGGCTATAGGCTTGCTGTATATCGCCTTTACTATGTTTAGATATGTGCCTTGTATTCTTGATCTCTCCAAGACTTTAAACATGAATGGGTGTTGGATTTTGTCAAATGCTTTTTCGGCATCTAAGGAGATGATCTTGTGGTTTTTCTCCTTCCTTCAGTTTGTTTATGTGGTGGATTACATTGATGGATTTCCATATATTGAACTACCCTTGCATGCCTGGGATGAAGCCTATTTGGTTATGGAGGATGATATCTTTTATTTGTTCTTAGATTCGGTTTGCCAATATTTTATTGAGTATTTTTGCATCAATGTTCATAAGAGACATAGGTCTGAAGTTCTCTTTTTTTGTTGGGTCTTTGTGTGGTTTAAGTATCAAGGTGACCGTGGCTTCATAGAATGAGTTTGGTAATGTTTCTTCTGCTTCTATTTTGTGGAATATTTTGAGGAGAATTGGAGTTAGCACTTCTTTGAATATCTGGTAGAAAAATAAAAATAAATTAAAAAATGTTTTAAAATATAAAATAATAAATTAGAGAAATATTAAAAATAGAAATAGAAAAATAGAAATTATGAAAATACAAAATTTTACAGTTACATATTTTATATATTTTGGTCATTTGAAACTTATTGCCTCAAAAGCCCTATGATACTTAATTGCTTTTATATGGAATTTATGCTATTATTATTATAACATTAATATTTAAGGATGATAGGATTAGCTATTCTTTACAATGTCCTTTTTTTTTTTTTTATAGAGTAAGACAATTGAGAAAACCTTGTTCTATAACGGGGTTGTTCCTGGCTTTGGAAAATGGGAACACACCTGGACAAGCCACTCCAGAAATCTCAAGGAAGCTCACGTCACTTATTAAAGATACCAGGCTAGTCAGAGCTGCTGCTTCCATCATCAATGTTCAGATGCTTTATCATGCTTTAATTTAGCTTTAAATCACTTTAAATATTTATAATCATATGTAAAACTATTAGGTATTTGTTTTACTCCCTACAGCTTATACTAATAATTATCCTAGCAATTTATTTATATATTACTTCTCAGTATATTTTCTTTAGTATAACTATTTTTTTTATATTTCATAGGTTTTTCTTTGTGAGATACTATGTCATAAAAGAAGATAAGTAATATTTTTTCATAGCAATCATTTTAAAAGGCTCCAAATTTTTAAGTAAAATAGTCTCCTACATAAAAATTCTAAGTAGAAGTATTTAAATAAAATACTACATTTTACTTCATTGAACTGCATATAAAATTAAAACTAAAATATTTGCCTCTGAAACTCTGCAGCTTTTATTAAAATCTTAAACTTAGGGCGGCGGGGCAAGATGGCAGCGCCGGGAGGACTCTCATTCTGAG